TCCTCTAAGGCTCGGGCCTAGGCCCAAATTTTTTTAAACTTTTTTGTTTTAGTCCCTTGTACAATTACGTAAAACCTCCTATAAATTTTGAAATAAACATAAATTGTAGGGGTTAAAAGGAAATTTTATAAAAAAAATTTCTAAAAAAAATTTACTTTCTTTATAAGCCAACGGTGATTTTTTTTTTTTTGGGGGGGGGGGGGGGTGTTACTCTATAAATAACCCTAAAATCTTTTATTTTTTCCGCACCACTCAATCTCTCATTCTTTCAATCTCTCTACTCTGAATCTCCAATCAAATTCTCATTCAATTTATATTTATATTTATAATTTATTCATATTATTTATTTATTTATTTATATTTTTCTATTTTTCAATATCATCTCTTATTCATATTATTATTTGATTTCTTTTCATTTTAATTATTTATTATTTTATCATAAATTCATTACGGATTCTCGAAATGATGCATTCGGAGGATCATTCGCAAATGAGTTTTACGTTCCATCCACCGAAGAAATGGAAGGGTTCAATCCATTTTCACCCTTTCCTCCAGAGGCAGCAACTGCAATTCCACAACCATATTCGATCGGGACGAGGTGCAGCCAAACACATGTGAGCTGCGAGTCAACGGGCATAGGCATAGCCCAACCCCCCCGACCGTCAAAGAGGGTCGTGTCCAATGTGTGGCAACACTTCACCAAATCAAAACGGCCAAAGACAAATAGGGAGGGGGAAAAATCGTGTGGGGTATGTAATTTATGTGGAACCATTATTAGCGCTGAGAAGGGGACTTCGACGATACGACGACACGTGGAGAAGAAGCACCCCCAAATAATGTAGTTGCCCAGTACATCTTCAACCAAATCAAGTAGACAAATTCAAATTTAACTTAATTTTAATCCACAATTCTCAACTCTCTCAACATGACAATACAATGCAAATGTTGCACGAGAGGAAATAGCAAGATTCATAGTTACTACGGACTCTCCCATTTGTTTATCTGAAAATCCTTATTTTATTCACATGATTAAAACTGCATTTTGTCCAACACATACCCCTATTAGTAGAAGTACAAGTAGAAGAGATATACTAAAACTTTATAACAAAATAAATAATAAACTTAAAAACGAATTTCAAAATTTTAGGAATATATCTATTGCACTTACATCAGACATATGGGCTTGTAGATCAAAAACTGATTTTTTAACTGTCACAATACATCTTAGATCATAATTGGGGTTTACAACAAAAATTGATGGGTTTTAAACCATTATATGAAAAACATAGTGCTGAAACTATTTATTTTACAATTCTTAAAATTTTGCAAGAATATTTATTAATTGATAGAGTTGTAGCGCTAACGCTTGATAATGTAGCTGCTAACACCGTGACAATCTCTTTATTTGAAAAGAGATTGGATCTGCACAGTGAAGGCAAAATTTTTCACTACAGATGTGCTTGCCACATCATCAAATTTGATAGTTAAAGCAGGTTTAGATGCTATACATTCAAAGATGGAGAGTGTGCGCATGACTATCGGATTTATCGTCGGCGGTAGCAATAAAAGATAGCAGGAGTACGTCAAATATTATAAGCAAGAGGACCCATCGGTTCTACCTTTGAAGTTATGTACGGACATGCCTATCCGTTGGAACTCCACCTACTTGATGTTGGAAAAAGCTTTGCCAACCGCAAAACAAATTACAGATTTCGTCAACCGAAAGCACTATCCAAAGGAAGTTGTCAACTATGATGATTGGGCAGTTTGTGAACTTTTTTATTCATTTCTTAAAAAATTTTATGATCTACTAATACATAAGTGGTATTTATTATCGAACTACTAAGTTAGTGTTAGATATTTTACTTCAATTTGCTAAAACTTTTGCTAAATATAGATATAATAATGTTTTAAGGGAATTGTTTTAAAGATGGAAGAAAAATATGAGAAATATTGGTTAGATATTCCATTCTTATATGGATTAGGCCTTGTTGTAGATCCTAGGTTTAAATTACACGTAGTTAACTGTATAATTACTAAGTTAGGCAAGCATTTAGGACATGATTATACGTCTCATTTGATTGACTTTAAACAAAAATTGGATAGCATTTTTTCTTTATATGAGAATAGGTACAATAGAAGTGGAAGTAGAACGTTCAGGAGAGACGATCAGGACCCTGATGCAGACCTCCATCAAGGATCGAGCAAGTGGACGTATATAGAACATGGCGAAAGTAGCAGCTCCAACTCGTACATACATGGACCAAATGAGCTGAATTGCTACCTACAAGTGGACCTGTACTTTATGACGATGAAGGAGAAATGTGACATGGATATTCTTCAATGGTGGAACTAACATGAAAGCTGATTCCCCATTGTAGCCCAAATGGCACGTGACATTTTATCTGTGCCGGTTTCAACAATTGCATTCAAGTCAACATTTTCAACCAGTGGCCGGATTGTTGAAGACAGAAGATGTTCTTTAACCAATGAGATGATTGAAGTGATAACGTGTTTACGGGATTGGACTCATGCAAAAAGAAGACTACAACTAGGGGTGTAAACGAGCCGAGCCGAGCTTTTGACTTATCGAGCTCAGCTCGTTTACAACAGTGTCGAGCTCGAGCTTGAGCCTGGCGAGCCTCAAAATTGAGACTCGAGCTCGAGTCCAGCTCGATAAGGCTTGCGAGCCCTTATGATTTACCAGAAAGCACATACCCAATTTTACTAAAACTTAGTTGAGAGAAAAAAAATTGAAGACCAACTTAACTCAAGACAAAACAAAAGACAAATAACTGCTATAATCCAATTAAAAATTCTCAAATTCCACCCCAGTTTAAAAATCCCACACAAATTTCATCAAACAAAACTCATAAAATAAAAGAATCAATCTTCCATCTTCCTTGTAGAAACCAAAGTTCAAATATCACCTGCACATCGAGAAAAGTCAACACATCAATTATGACAAAAAGAAAACCTTAAATTCGTATTTATTATCATCGAAAAAACCCAAACAAAGAAAAATTAGTCTAAAAAGACCAAGCGCAAATTGAACAAGCCGAAAATAGTAAGTAGTCAAAGAAGAAGACAGCAATCGAAAATTTGATAAGCAGCGAACGAAGAAAATAGAATCCACTTAGAGTCGAACCGATGCGAACTTACTGAGGCGGAGAAATTATTAGAACCAAAACCCTAAAAGACGAAACGAAAAGAAAGTGAGAGAAGATATAGGGAAATCATGTTATTTCAAATTTGCAGTTTGGGGGGAAACTGTCATTTTTTAAAACTTTTTTCACTGGAAAATATCAGTCTAATACATAATAGTTTAAAAAATCACCAAAACACCCTGTGAAGTGTACAGTGCTTAATCGAGTCGAGCCAGGCTCGCGAGCCCACGAGCCGAGCTTCACTGTGTTCAAACTCGACTCGATTAACGAACCGAGTTCGAGTCGAGTCGAACCGAGCCTTATCGAGCCGAGCTCTAAACGAGCTTTTACCGAGTCGAGTCAAGCCGAGCTGGCTCTGCTCGTTTACAGTCCTAACTACAACAACACCCTGAAGATCCCAAACTACTCGAACTCTTTAAGAATACAGATTTGAATGATGTAAATATTGTTAACGATGAAGATAAATAATTTAATAAAAAAATTATTTAATTGTTTATTTGTGAAGCGTGAATGTGTGAAATGTGAATATTACATTTATGTTAAAATTAATTATTAATTTATTTATTATTTTTTAAAATTAATTAAACTTTTAGAAACTTACAAAGCTACCCCTGAAAAATACTAAAAATCTCCTACAAAATTTCGTTTCGCCCCTAAAATATAAAAAAAGATCAGGGGGAAAAATAAAAATTTCAGGCCCATAGGACCGGTCTGAGTCCTAAAATTGCTCATGGGCTTGGGACCGGTCCAGGCCCATGAGCGACTGGTCCCACTTGGGACCAATCCCAAAAGGACCAATCCCAAACGGGCCCAGGCCCGAGGTTGCTTGGGACTGGTCCTTGACCAGCTCTAGTCACTACAAAAAATATATTATATTGTGACAAAATTGATTTTATCACATGTTATTTTGTTACGAGTAACATATGTATTATGACAAAAAAAAAAAAAAATATCACGTTAAGTATGACAAAAAAAATATACAGCGACTAAAAAAAATAATTGTTATAATATTTTATCACAACAAAGATACCCATAAGAAATATAGTGAAGAAAAACATTTTGATCATAATATTTCGTCAAAATTTTTTTGCGTCAAATTTTGGCGCCTAGGAAAATTATTTATTGTGACAAACATATTTTGTCATAAAACATTTTAGTCACTAGATTTAGTTTTACATGCTATAACTACAAATTATTTTATCACAAAAGAATTTATTTAGTATTACAAAAAAAAATTGTCATAATAGATGCTGAAATTGAGATATTAATAACAAAATGTTTAAGTCAAAATTTAAGCGTCTAGATAAATTATTTATTGTGACAACATATATGTCATCAGAAACTTTAGTCACTATACATGTTATAATTACAAATTAATTTATCACAAAAGAATTATTTATCATTAAAAAAAAAATTATCATTTATTTGACAGCTAAAAAATTAGTTTTAAATTAACGTGGCAACTAAAATTTTAGCTACTAAATATGGTTTACAAAATATGAAATATACTAATGAATTAAGAGTAATACTACACATACATCATTTTCATACAATATTTTCCATACAACATTAAGTGGCAAGATATGATTGGCTAATTTAAAGTTAAAATTAAACTTTTACTCAATCATATCTAGCCACATAATATTGTATGATAAATGTTGTATAAAAATGATGTATGTATAACATTATTCATGAATTAATGATAACTGAAAAATTAGTTAAAAAAATAATGAACTAAAGAAATAACCAATTTTTTTGAATTAATTACTAAAAACCCATTCTTATATAAACCCAACCTAATGCCCAATCCCTAGTTCCCAATTTCCACTTTGATATTTTTAGCTTATACAAACAAAGAGTTTTCAAGAAGGGGCCAAGATGATGAGGACCCAGAAAAGCGTGGGTCAAAATTATCATCGCCGTACAAATGGTTGAGCAACTTTCACCATGATCTACTGGCGGGGGTGGCTATGGGCGGTGTAGTGCACACGATTGTGGGCCCAATCGAGGGAACGAAATTGTTGTTGCAGACCCAAGACAGCAGCCTGGCCATTGTTGGGAGTGGATGAAGAAAATCTAAGGGTATGCTTGATTGTATTGTCCGTATAGTCCAAGAAGAAGGCCTTTTATCTCTTTGGGGAGGCAATGGCAGTAGTGTGCTTCGTTATTACCCTTCAGTTGCGCTTAGTTTCTCTCTTAAGGTATCTAATCAAGATTTTATTTTTTATTTTTTGAAACTTCAGTTTTTTTGTTATCTTACTTTAGTTTTAATGCAAATTTTATTGGTTTGTATGGTTCTTTTCGTTTGGTGTTGTTTCTTGAATATTTTTTTGGAGGTTTAATACTTTGTCAGTTATTTTTTCTGTGTATAATTGATTTAAATTGGGTATTTAAAGTATTTCCAAGTAAAGAAAATGGGAATGCGATTGGCCTGCAAGTCAGACCACCGGGACCTAGAACAGGACAGCCACACTTGTCGTTGCAGTGAACTATACTTCCTCCCTTTAATACGTCTGCCTTCTGTGTTAGCTAGCATTTCTGTTTCTATCAGCTCATGTTCTGTGTTTTTGTGTTAAACATATAGGTGGCAGAAACAGCAGATTGATTCATGGCTTTCGTGGCCTCACCATTTCATGCATTAGAGACAATGCCAACACGTGCACATGTTCATTTTTTTTTACCAAATTTAAGCCCAACTGCTTCTCTAAATCTTAGTTTATACAAGTAAAAGAGAACACTTGAAAACAGAAACCTTTTTTATGGCCCTGCTATAACAATTACTTGGTGTTACCAAGGGAGATTAATTTCCGAGCAGGATTAACAGTTGAAGGATTTAGAATCTGATGCACAATTTCCTCAAATTCATCAGTTTCTGTAATCTGAGTGCATAAACATCTATAGAATGGTAAACTTAATTTGTAGAATCTCTTGAGCATATGAAACTCTGTTATCATCCGGAACTCTAAAACATAGTTAATACTTTGTCGGTATAAAATGAACCGAATGTAATTTTGGGTAAACAATTTCGATGCAGATACCTTAATACTTTGTCAGTTATTCGAGGTACCACTTTTGCATAAATATAGATGGAGTGATATTACTGTGGAGGCTGAAAGTAGTAAAATCTCTAATGAAATCGAGTCTCTTACAGATCCTGTGTAGAAGGTGAGGTATTTTATATACCTGGGTTGCACATATATTTACACAATTTCGTACTCAGTATCCATCTGTGGGTATTTGAGTTTGCAGATTCCAACAGACTGGAGAGTGATCTTGAAGAGTTGAATTGCTCTTTGGATTTAGTTGCATCACCTGTTGGTTCTCCATTGACAACAATTTTTTTCTTTTACTATTTGTTTCAAACTAGTTCTTCTGTGGTTAGAAAAATAATATTAGCTCAAGCTTGTTGTTTAACTGAAGCAATTGATGATGATGGATTTTGTGTACTATCTAGTTGGGTCAGGGGAAGGCTATAGAGGATCCACATGCTGATTGCTATAAAGATGGAGAAGATCAATCAGATATGGTAAAAATTCACGAAGACCAGAAATTTGAGGTGTTAATCCTGAACACTTTTGTTTAGTACTTCCATGATTGGTTTGTGAATTATTTTTTATGACACTTGTGCAAAGATATATTTGCATCATATTTTCACTTTATCAAGAGTCTGGCATGTTTGCAAGAATTTCAAGTTTCAAGTTCATTTATGATGCTAAGTTTGTTCTCACTGTATCATATTGTTTCTGGTGCTTTGTGTTTTGAGAAATTTAAGAGAGGATTCACATAGAGTTGTTGGCACGATGAATGTAAGTGCTAATCTGTGGAAATAAAAATATTCTTAAACCATTATAGTGTGGAGCTACATAAATTAGATACTAATTTCGTTTAATTAAGACCCAAGTGCTTTTGAAAAATTTCTTTGGAGATTAATAGGTTGGAGACAACTTAAAATGTGAAGTACAGAGCAGCACAAGTGGTTGTGACGTAAAATCAATACTCCAAGTTTCATTATATTTTTAGGGAAATATTTTACTTAGGGATATTTCTTGTTTGAGGTATTTGGTTCTCTTGATATGATTTTCTTTTAAATAGCATTTGCATTACTAATTTAGAGTAAATTTAGATTTCCTTTCGTGTAGGGCTTTTGTCATTATGAGTGGGCCTTATGTTTCTTTGCGGAGAATAGAATAAACTAATGACATAAATAATTATGTGCACGAATTATTTCTACTTCTTGCTTTCTTTAAATTCTTCCCTTCTCTGCAAATTCTCTCCTTTTTGCTTCTCTTTTCTTAGTAATTTATGGTTCATCCCATTTAAATTTATAATCTTCTTATTCGTTTTCCCTCTTCTCCTCCTTTCTCTTTTTGTCTCACATTAGATTGGTGTACTGAAGTGATTAATAGTTCATTTGGATTGGATGTGTAGAAAGAATTTGGGCTTAGTTGGGGGAACTTATGGCAGCTTACTTTTTATTTTTAAATGTTGGAGATGCTAGTAGGTTTTCTATGGGAGATGTCCACGAGGGGAGGGCCCTTTAAGGGTTGCATTTTATGATCTCTGTTATGTTGCTAGGAGAAGATTTGCTAATATGGTTTTATATTTGGTTTGTCGTTTTATCCATAATTGTTGATTTATGTGTAAGACAAATAGGAACATATGTACTTTTTCCTTTTGGCTATTTTACTGGTGGGTAATAAGCCCTTTTTTGTGTACCTTCCAGCTTTTAGAACTTGAAAGTGATATTGAAAAGAATAATGTAAAAACTTTGAACTCCTTGCAAATCTCAATTCTATGTACAAATTGTAGTGACCTGCTTGAATGTTGTACTGACTACCAAGTTTGTGGACCTGCAGTGGCCCCAAGTTCTAGATTTTGTGACTTGTAAGAAAGGTTGATGATCTCCTTGTCAAAAAAGAAGTTATTGATTTTCTTGGTCATAGTTATTGATATCGTAACTAACATAGTACTGTGACTTAAATTAAATTATTGAATCCTGCCCTCATTATATGCTGTTTTCCTCTCATTTGTGTGGGAGGAGATTAAGATAACCAGCTTAACGGTGTTTATCAATCTTTACTCAGAACCAGATGAAGAAGAGGGAGAGAAGGCCAAAGAAGAGGAAAATGCAGAGGATGAAGATAAAGTTCGTTTCTGGACTCTTTTAAATATCAGCTGCCTTTAGAAATTATCATTATTGAGATGATAAATAATATTTGTCATGCCTATACTATTTTGATAATAAAAAATTTGTCGCGTAAAAATATTTGTGTTAAAAATTATTTGTCATGTTATTAAATTTTTTACAAAATTATTTTTGTCATTATACAATTTTTGACAAATAATATTGTTATATAAACAAACGTGTGACAAAATAATGTTGTCACAATAAACTCAATGACAAATAAATTTCTGTCCCTATTAAAATTATGAGCAAATAATTTGGCCATTATTCAAAATTTTGACAAAATCAATTTTGGCATAATATATTATTTTCTTATCATAAAACTTATCATTTGGTCTTTAAATGTAAATCAATTGTGATAAAATATTAATGTAATGAAAAAAATTATTTTCTATTGGCACAAATAATTTATTAAAATAAACTAGTTTAAAGTGACAAATTATTATTGTCACAATAAATAATTAGATTATGGTGATTAAACACTCTTTCGTCATTATGTATTTAAGAGTACGAGCTTATTATGATAAACCTGATGATCAATACAATTCATCACATTAGCAAAATTGTCACAATGTTAATATTTATCATAACAAATTATATTGTTGTGAGAAGCCTAAATTCTTGTAGTAGTTAAACAATAATAAGCTCTCTGGAAACTTACCCACGTGCTTGGAAAGTTTGGTTTCTCTGAGAAATCTACAATTGGGCTTCGACAAATTCACCTCGTACATACCGACATCCTTATATAATCTTACATATATCTTGCATCCAAACTTGTCATCAAATTCTTTAACTAGTTCTCTCCCTTTAGATATACAAAATTTGAGGGTCTTGATAGATCTAGATTTATCAAGAAATCTATAATCCGGTGAGATACCAATCACCATGGAAGGTCTTATAAATCTAGTTACTCTATCTTTGGCGTATAATAGATTTTAAGGCTCCATCCCTAACACATTCGACACTCTAAGGAGCTTGGAATCCTTGGAATTGTCAAATAACAATCTCTCTTTGGAAAAATTCCGAAGTCGATGGAAGCACTCGTATGTCTCAAGCATTTTAACGTGTCTCGCGATAGGTTAAAAGGGGAAATTCCAGATAAAGGACCTTTCAAAAATTTCTCAGCTCAATCATTTATGTGGAAGTCTATACTGTGTGGTTCCCCACAACTACAAGTTCCACCTTGCAAAGGGGGTAACACGACAACTAAAAATTGTGTTAAAAAATTATTTTACCTCTGATTCAATTGATTATATTTGGTAGTGATGGTAATCGTCAGCTTTATAAGGTGTCGATATAGGAGTGGAAATTCTTCGACTCAGGAATATTTGTTACCTCTAGCTACATGGGCAAGAACTTCATATCTAGAAATTCAACGAGCAACAAATGGGTTTAATGAAAGCAACTTGCTCGGTATAGGTAGCTTTGGCTCAGTATACAAAGGGATACTTTCAGATGGCACAAATGTTGCAGTAAAAGTTTTTAATCTACAACTAAAGAAAGCATTTAAGAGTTTTGATTCGAAATGTGAAGTATTGAGAAGTTGTATTCTGAATAACTTTTTAGACATACTAAAGAGGTTGGATATAATGATAGATGTCGCATCGGCTTTTGAATATCTACATCACAGTCACTCAACACCTAAGATCTATTGTGATTTAAAGCCTAGCAATATTTTGTTGGACGAAAATATGGTTGCTTCTGCTGATCAGTGGGAATTGTTTCTTCGAATGGTGATGTCTACAGTTATGGTACGTATTTTATTAATGGAATCTTTCACCAAAAAGAAGCAACAGATGAAATGTTTGGCGAAGAAATGAGTTTAAAGAATTGGGTGGAAAATTCATTGCCTCGTGCAGTGACTGAAGTTGTGGAAGCCAATTTGCTGCAAGAAGAGCAAGGTTTTGGTGCCAAAATAGAATGTCTGTCAAGCATTATTGAATTGGCTATGGATTGTTTAGAGGAATCACTTGAGCAGAGGATTACTATGAAGGATGCCGTAGTAAAACTCAAGAATAGTAAAGAAAAGTAGCTAAATGATGTTGGAACAACTTAATATCTCACTTATTTGTATTAAAATGAGAACTGAGAAGTGGTTCTGCGCTGGTTTGCGTCCATGATTAAAAAACAAAACCAGAAATTTCTCATTTCTCATGCAAGTTTGTCTTAATTTTTATGGTAATGGGATGAAATATTTGTATTATTTCTTTTTTAATGTTAACCAAAGTCACTACTGTCTAAAGTCTTCCCACTTAATTCAATCTTTTAAGAACGGTTTTAAAACAGCTTGGTTTTAATGAATCAATATTGGAGATGCTTTAATCATTTGTCAACACTAAATCCGTCAACTCTTGGCATGTTCATCTTTAATTTTAGTTTTTTATTCATAATATTCTCCCTTCTGTTATCACATATAGAACAAGTATTAAACATCTGAGAAAAATCAACCTCCAAAGTATTGATCTAATTGAGGGTTTACTGTTCATTCATTGCCTGTAATTTTGATAACATGGATGATTAAAGAATAGTGTTACATATCTCAATTATGTATCATAAATTTTGCATTCCAAATAATATTTACATTTCTGATTGATTGTATATGCTGATACAGGGGCTGGACTCTCTGGTCAGTACTATCACAAGCCCAAATCAAGCTCAGAGGGCCCAAAAAAATTTGGGCTGTTGGGGCTCTATGCTAGCTACCAAATTTGCAGCCCAACATTTTGACACTTCATTCGACTTGTTATAACTGTTATATATACAGAAACAATAATACTATACTCACTAACTTTCTCACATAAACACAGTGTGTCAACTCGTGATTGATCAACTTGTAATAGATCCGGCTTCCCCAAATGTAAGTTAACCAATTATGAACTGCCACATCGGCGTTTGTGAGAAGTGTTTGTGGGCTACTCAACTTTGAGAAAACATACTTCGCCACTTCGGTTAATTAATGATATCAATTTAGTTTGTTAAAATGAATTAATGAATGCCATGTATAAGAGGGAAGCAATGCCATGTATAACAGGGAAGCAATAATCATCTCTTAATAATTCCCCGAATTGAAGACTAAGTAGAAACACAGCTGGCCCCTTAATTATTCACTAAAATGAAGACAACCTACTGCGGTTGTTGGCTGTTTCTAAATACTTACTGCCTTCATTTAAGGCCATTTACCCATCTTCAGCTTCAAGGTTTTCAACCACCAATGTAAGGTGAATCCAATAATATCACATCATTCATGTAAATCAAAAAAGAAGATAAATGTATACACGATATCAGTAAATTTCTTAAAGTGCAGACGTCTTGAAGTTTTTAACTAACAGACCAAATATAAATGATTGGTCGTTAGCTTTTGATCTTGTATTTTGTGAAGGTAGAAACCAGTCGTTCATATTTAATTCAAAAGCTAATAACTTTAGGATGTACGCACTCAAAATTGACTCTGATATGATATTATATAAAAAATGAAGATATTATCCATATGACAATCTTTTGTAAATTTTTTACTCGTTCAACTTTTCTAAGTTTTTCCACTTTTACATTTAACCTTTTCAACTGTCTTCTCCTTTACACTCTTCACATTTATTCGTTTAACATAAAGCTGAATTTGCATGTGGAGTGTGCCAGCTACTAATTAATTTCAATTTAAGGCCAACCACAAACCCATCTTTGCTTTTAATCACTCCTTGCCTTTTTCTTCATGTAATTATTTTCTTTCTTTGCAGAGACATGGAAGTCGAGAGAACTCCATTCTGTGTAAACATCAAGAAGTACAGGAGGAGAAGACGATACAGGAGACTGAACAATGTGGTGAGCGACAACGAGAATGTGAAGATTGCCGCTTGTCAAAAGACTCATCAAAGGTTTGGGAAGATTCAACTCATATCAAGAAGAATTAGAGATGCTTATGTTGATATGATGCTTCATTTTGCTAGACAAGTTGCCAAGTTCAACAATGGCAATAATGTTTACTTGTTGATGAAGAATGCTTCAGACTTTGAGCATTTTACAGATTAGAATGGGATTAGTTTCATGAAGTAGTTAAATAAAGGTCCAAAATCTCTCTCTTTATCTTCATATTTCTGATAAAACGATCAAGTGTAAAGCTTATTTGTTAGGAAATGTAATTTTTGTTTGTGCTGAAAGTTCATGAATCTGGAAATGAACTTTCATTTGTTATGCTCAAATGTTTCAGGAATATTGCAGTTAATTGAAATTTTAACTTATGAAAGTAACGTTAAATTATATTTTTGTATTATAATTAGAAAAAGAACAAAGAAACATTTTTATTGAAATTTATTGTTTTCTGCAAGGTCCTGCATGAAAGATAAGAAGGAAAAAAAAAATTTGTAAGGGCATCTACAATGTAACACCACCAAAATGGTGTCCAAATTTTGCTCCAATATAACACCAAAAGTCAAGCCAAATTGGCATGGATGAATAATATCACACCAAATTTGGTGTAATACTATTCATCCATACCAATTTGGTGGGACATTATTCATCCACCACAAAACATATTTCATTTCATTACTTTGGTTATTTAATTTTTTTTAATTTGTATTTATATTAATTTGATTATTATTTATATTAACATTTATAATAATTATATAATTCAAAAAATGATGAAAAATTAAAAACAAAACTTTATTCAATGCAAATATTAAACTTCTATAACTTAAAATAAATTAACACTAAAATTAAAAATAAAATACAACATAAACTAGAATAACAATTTAGTATTCCGGTATATTAGTTTTGAATCATCTAAGATCATCAAAATATTGGAAAAAACTAGAGTTATTTTGATATCATTGATCTTGCTGTT